TATATTTTTATAATATGCTATATTACATACTATACGAAATGCTTGGGATTTATAGGTTTTCAAAAAACAAATAATATAAAAAATACAATATAATACATTAACAAAATGTATTATATTATATTATATTATATTATATTACTTCCTGATATAATATAATATAACTACATTATATTATATTACTTACTGAATGGCCGTCTATGGAAAAAAAAGATGATTTTTGTAGTCAAATGTTGTAGTAACAGCATCTGCCAGCAGGGGCTAAAGGTGCTACGCTAACCAAAAACTCTTTCATTCAGATTCAGTTCAGACTATGACTTACGTAAGCCTTGTCCCACATGGGACAGCGATGGAAACTCTTCTGTTTAAATGTTAGTGTTGGAAAGCATCTTCTGAATAATAAAATGGGATCAAAGCTGCGTTTGATTGGTGGAGCGTTAGCACACGGGCGTGTGTGCGGATGACAAGCGCTGCACTGTCAGCAGAAGGAGTTGTGTGCTGAAGCTCAGGCCTGTCAGATGATGACAGAGAAATGCCTTTCAATCACAGCTGGAGAGAGAAAGTCTAAAGTGTCTTTAATTCAGGAGGAAGGAAACCTGTGTGGCTTGCAAAACACATTTGCTAAATCACTGTCACGGCTCAACTGTGTGCTAACGCATCTTTGACTTGTTTACGCCGCAGCAAATGTCACGGCTCAGTGTGTACGTTAAGGACATTAATGCATTTGAGGTCATTACTTGAGAAATATCATGTTTTAGTTTGAATCAGAATTGACGAATCTCACTGTCTATATAAAAAACAACAAAAGACAACATTCTTGTTAGTTGTTGGTACCAGTTAGCAGGCTAGCTGGCTAAATGTATTTTAATTGAACAGTCTAATCAGCTAGCAATGGGCTAAGCTAGCAGGCTAATAAGTTAGCTGTATGGTAATTTAACAGGTTAATCAATTAGTCAAATAAGATAGAAAGCTAATCTACTGTGTATAGTATGCAAAGCTAGTCAACTAACCCACTAGCTTACAAGTTGATGCACTTGCTTTTCTTACAAACTAACTGATGAAACAAAATGACACATTTTAAATTTTACCATTTTTAGCTTGTATTATAAAATATGTGACTTTCAATTCGATTAAATGACTTTAGTTTAACTTTGTTACCAGGCAGACTAGTAAGAACCTTTGCGTAAAACCAGCCAATCAGACTGAAAGAAGTAATACATTTATATAGTATAGTCAGTCTTCTATATAATCAAAATAGCATTCTTGATAGTTGTTGGTAGCAGTGGTAATGATGTCAGCAGGCTAATCAGCTAATGGTATGTTAATCGAGCTAAGCTAGGATGTGTTAAACTAGCAGGCTAATAAGTTAGCTATATGTTAAGTTAGCATGCTAATCAATTAGCTGTATAGCTATAAACCTAATCTACTGGATATATGCACAGCTAGTCCGTTAACCAGTTGCCTTACAAGTTGATGCACTTGCTCATCTTACAACGTAATAAAACAAGAACAATGGATAAGAACAGCACGTTAAATGTGAATTTTTTTTTTTTTTTTTTTTTTTTTTTTTTAGTAATTTAGTAGTTGTTTCTAGATTTACTTTCTCTATTTTTTTATTTTATATATATTTAATTATATTTTATTTTGTGTGTGTGTGTGTGTATGTATATATATATATATATATATATATATATATATATATA